AAACAAATGCACATACATATTTGTGACATGATGTACCTTGTGTGTGTGAAGTTTGAATTCGATCAATCCAAGCATGTCTCAGATACGGATCCAGAACTGAATTCTTTAAAACAAAATGGCCGCCAGTCGGCCATTTCAAACTCGATCCAAAAAAAAAAATGACGTGCATCAAGGTCCTATTATGTTTAATGTAAGTACCAAATTTGAACAAAATCCGTACATGCATAACTGAGATCCGGGTCCGGAATGGTGAAAATGTGTGATTTTGATGCATTTTCGGCCTTAAAATGACCGCTATTTGGCTATCGTTAATCGGATCATAAAAAAAATGCATGTGCATATGTCCCATATAATGTGTGATGTATGAGTGAAGTTTGAACTTAATCGGTCCATGCATGTTCGAGATACAGGTGATCACGGACGCACGCACGCACGCACGGACGCACACAGGGCAAAACATAAGTCCCCGTTTTCGGACTACGTCCGAACGGGGACTAATAATTGTCACTGTTGGCCTGAGACCTTCTATCTCAAAAATAAATTGACACCTAACAGACACCTCAGGTGGTGATCATTATGATTAGTGATCGAGAAATATGTGATGACATTTTGCTGTCAGTAAAATATCTACAATTATCGTCACTACCGTACCTGTGCTTTAGGGAAGTCCTTGATAGCGGTGAGAACGTCTTCCTTCGACAAAGTAAAGAGCTCGGAATAGCCCATAGACCGAACATCTGCTGTGCGTCTGCAAAGAAACGTGACATCGTCATGGTAAGCACGCGTCGATTAAGGCAGTAACCCAATTATCCCGTAATTAACGCTACTATTCGGCACCCTCGAGTGGCTTCTGACGTTCGTTCGCCATAAGGATTTATTAAAAATAATACAATAAGCATATCCAGAAGCATTTGATAAACATGATTCATAGAATTATAAATAATGATAACATTACTTGGCCCCAACTTTTCTTGACAATGGTCACTTATTTTTTGTCTCGAATAGATTCGAAAGTGAACAATACGGTAATAGTCACTGAACTCGTTTCCATGGAAACTGTACATGTAAGACCCACTTCCAGTGTGTGGATGTTTGTGTCAAGGGAGGGGGGGGGTAAACGGTAAGATCCGCACTGGATAAACACTGAAGGCATCATTTTATCGTAGTGTATTGTCAGTTCATTGAACCATGTAATACTGACGGGTGATAGGTTGATAACCGTTAATGACGAGGGTAACTTGCTTGCACCTACTTGTTGGCGCCACTTTCTTTGTCAAGATTAAGCATTCCTATTTCTCCGAAGAAATCACCGGCTTTCAAAGTTGTGAACACTTCTCCCGCCTCTCTGAGAATAAAACAGTGCACATGTTCAGGTAAGTATATTCAAGCAATATCCGTCCTATGTTAGGCCAAGTCACGTGTAAGGCCAAATATAAGGCCGAGACATATACGTGCGTCGATTAAAATAAGTTACGTTTTTTTGTTTTGTTTTTTTTATTTGGCAGGGATGGGCGAATTATATGGTTGTCATATGACAATTAAAATAATTACATTTAAAGCGAGAGGGTCGTCACTTGCGCACGCGCGGGAATTGAGTTCCAAGCGACGATAACGACACACGCTAAAACGCAAAGGCTCATGGGTAGACGCTTGTTAGTAAACAATGACACGCTATGGCCATCTGACGCATACGCAGGTGACGACTCTCCCGCTTTAAATATAAGAATTTCAATTAGTGGTCTCACGATGTACTCTGCCGAAAGCAGAAACAAATTATATTCTTTCAAAAATATTATATTGCTTATTGGGACAATGTATTCACCCGAATGCGCCCTGGATTTACGTATACGCACACACAATGTGAAGCGCATGCGTACTGTCTTTTTCAGTATTTCATCGAACCAATACTGCCACGTCAACGTGTACTCGGTTTAGACTGTTGTGAGACAGGTTAGTTCTACCATAGACAGTATAGTATACTGTCTATGGTTCTACCCTACTGAAAACACAATAGTTTATACATGCTCAAAAGTTAGAATCAAGGCGCGCTTTCAAAGAACATTTTGTAATACGAATATTTCTGAGGAAAAGTTGTTTCAACAACTTACAATAAAGAAATGCATGACCTCGCGTATGGATACTTAGGTGAGAAACCAAATCACTACTGACCCCGTGACCTCCAGGATGCCGTCTGCGATGATAAACATTTCTCTGGCTACTTCACCTTTGCGGCATATCAAGTCGCCGGGTGTGAAGATAAACGCTTTCATTTTTAAGACGAGATCATGGAGAAACTCAGGAGGACATTCTTGGAAAATCGTCACCTTAAATAACACAACAGAGAAAATTATATATCAGAGGTTGTATATATTAATTGGAGTATGTTATAAATGCACTTGCTTCAAATTCCTCGCTAGGCCGAGGCTAAACGACTAAACACTAAGAATATGTGTTCTCGTACCTTTCTCAGTGTATCCAGATTGACGTGTAGTGCCAGTTCTGTTTTCATCTTGTCAGGCAATAAACTGAGATTGCTTATATCGCCCCCACCGGTGAGGTGACCTCTGAAAAAAATAGAGATTGACGAAAGTTTACAACAAAAGTGCTATTATAATAATACACAATTATGTTTCTCTTTGAAAAATACAACTTTTAGGCCTTATAATATTTTCGTCCGACAATACCTAAAATGTTGTTCCGGTTTGATGAAATAAGGAACTACGCAAGGCGCATGCGCCTAGAATTACTTGTACATACCATTAATTAATTCAAAACGCATGTGCAGTATTGTGTGCGAGTTGTAAAAACAGCGTTTTCAGTTGGCCAGAATTCCAGACTCAATGTGTATATGAACATGTCCATATAAAGCTAACATTATCGACGTTATTTTAGCCACCTATATTATATGACGTAAACGCGCCATAGTCGTCACGCAACGCGCATTCAAACAATGTATTTTACACGCGTGGTATACGTCGTATGAAACCATATCGAACATGTCAATAAATCAATCAATCAATAAAATGTATTCACATTGCTCTTTAACACACTGCGCAATACTCACAAGGAATAAAGCTAGCATGGGAAACGTGTTTATACAAGTCTATTTTTTTGTAAACAATGCTTTTTCGACCGTAAATTTCATACAATACATTTGCCCGCACATGATCACATTTTTAATTCTTTTATTTCCCGTGGTTTATGTCCCAATTAAAATAAATAGTTCATAAATGGTAAGTTGCTCAGGAAGAGGTCAAAGACGCATTAATTGACGTACAAGCGATGTGAACCGCGCATTGATTGGAATGGCTGCCGTGGTGACGTACCTGGCCCACGTGTAATCGTACCATCGCTGTATTCGCCTCTGCACTTCTTCTGGCACATTATGTGTACGCATGTACTGTTTAGTGTTGTCCTGTAAAAACAAAAGTTAATAACTATAATAGCCAATTAAACGAGTTCTTTTCTGGTGGGCAGATGTGGCATGGCGCAAAAATTAATTCCAGCTGAAAAGTATTTTACAGTATTCATCAGAATTTCCAAAAAATTCACAAGAACCAATAGTAAGCGATAGCTCTTTTTTTTGCGCGCGCGAGAATTATTTCGGTAACAATATGTTTGTTGTTTGCTTTGTGAACAGAGACATAAAATAAAACTATAATAACATGAATAAATTCTGATAATTCTTATTAATAATTCACTCAAACAATTCAAGACGAGTTAAACAATAGTTATTGTATCGAGTATTTATATATCGGAGTTACAATTTCACATATTCAATATTGTAAAAGACATACTCGTATGCCAGTGCGAGAATCCCGTGGATCACAATGGCCCAATATACCATAATAGACCCAATATGCAATATATACTCACGAGGTGCTTTTCGAACTCCATCCGTGATGCATTGCGATTCTCGACCACTGTTCCAACTTGGCCTGTAAATATAGGAAGGCACACAACTTACAAACAACCAATTCGAATTCACATCTCCGCACATTCTCCTTCCCAGAGATCATTGCGGCCAGAACACCGATAAGCATAAGATCGCTTGGTGGCAGAGATATATTCGTAGAAATGGAACTCTGATGCTAAATGGCACGATTACGTCACAATTAACAAACACTAGTGGCTACAAAACAGATATCATCAATTATTTCAGGCGTAGCAGCAAACAATTCTCTGCAAATGTAGTTCTTTTAATACCCCCCTCTTCATTGTGTCAACACCCGAAGCTTTATTTTAAATATACACTCGTTTGAAATATTATGTATGGAACGAAAGCAGCCAAGGATTAGTCCATCACTTCTAATAAAGTGGTTGGTTATCGTCAGAAATATATACACATAGAGGAGAATATGTCAAAATAACAAGAATTAAAAGCTAAGCATCCCGGCAGAACCCCTGAAAAACAGTTCATAGGTGACCTACCTACGATAGTGGCGAATACAAACACACCAATTAGATAACTACAGATTTGAAAAACGTACCTACAAACAAACAGACGAAATAATCAGTAGATATTCACAAAGTTATAATTACAACGACAAGCTGTAATTCATATTTGCATTCAGTGTTCACAGTTATTCGCGCTGAGAACCAGGTTGTATCGAATGCCGCGCCATGAATGTACACTTGATATTCCAGTTGGATGAAGCTGCAAGTGTTTACAGAGAGTGACACTTTAAAATACTATGGAGGTATAAACATTTATACCTCCATGAAAGACCAACTGTGAATGAGAACGTTTAATGTGTAGTGGTGTTGTTTAATACTATATATTGGTGAATACATTGCATTCTGATTTATCATGAACGATGAAACAGCGATATTCTATAATACGCATGTCCGCTGATAGTTTGGTTACGGACATCTCAATGGACGGGCATGCGTGTTAATAACTGTTCGTCATTCCAATCTTTACGCCGCACTCCAAAGTGTTATAAATATCAAAATAACATATTAGATATGTTGCATACATATTGCATATTTAATGAACTTTATAGACTGTAAACAACAAAACCGTTTGTTAACTTTGAGTTAGTACTTTAAGTTAGTACGCAATGACAAACACAAACGTTTTGATTTTCCGATACGTACATTTAAATCTACATGCGCATTTCAAAGGTTTAATCATCGAACTCCTGCGTACGCGACCAGAACATGTTGACGTCACGATCAGCTATATTAACAAGGATTTAAATGATTTTCCCTTATAAATCCGGGATATTATCTATAAAAATTAATTTGAAATTCACATGGTCATATAGTTCCATAAATTGACATTCTATGGATTGCCAAAGTAATCAGATTGGTGACTTTCATGCACGGGGTTTGTCGTTTGCCATTGACAGATCCGCCGCAGATACTACCCCCCCCCCCAACCCATACGTACACGACGTCGACAACGGCACCGTGACGTTGCCCCTGGCAGGCAATATAATAACAATTCCAACTTGAAGCAAATAAACAAAAGACGATGTCAAATGGAAATGATATTTGTTCAAACACATCTGTATACAACTATCATAAACACGTGTCACATGGATTACAATGTATTTCTACATGTGAATTCAATTGGTAGCACAGAGGTTATTTTGGCTCCAGATCAAATAATGAAATAAGAAATTATTGGAAATTACGATTATTGATAAAACTTATATCACCTTAATCTTATAACATGGACGCAATCCGATTCACGTTGTTGATATAAGCCGTTGACTGATATATTGTTTTAGAGAAGTTTTAGAATTAACGCGCGTTTTGAAAAAAAAGGGATAATATATACAACATCATTTCTAAACCAGTGACATCGTCTTGAAATAAAGAGGAACTATTCAGCGGTAATTGACGATAAAAATATATCAAAGTAAAACACAAAATGCAATGCCGAACCATCTAAAGCATTGATTGCGAACATAGACACTATAAGAGACCAGGTCGAAAATATCGAGTTTGACGCTGGATGACGTCACATGGTGGGCACTTTTTTTACTATTATCGAGAACGGAAATAAACAGTAACGTTCTTGCAGATAACATGTTACGTCATCAAGTCCCCTGTGTTGCGAGGATTCCCAGCAATAATAATATAATGGGGTCTAATATGCATAATTAATTGATTGACACTTACTCCCCATTCGCTTCCGGTGAAGGTAAATCTCCGATTGTGGTCATGGTCAATGTGGACCAGTAAACGCACCACAAGTACTTCCTGGTGAGAGAGCCGTACTCACCGATAGGCTCCGGGTAAGCCCACTCACCATTGCCGAATCCCACACTCTGACTAATAACAAAATAAATAGCTGCAAACCAATGAATAAGCAGAAATAGCAGATGCTGCAAGTTCATCACCCTCCAGATGTTGGGATGCGCGGTGCGAGTTTCCACCATGTAATACAGCTGCTTGAATCGGTAGACTTTCAAAAATCGCGGAAATCGCAACATTGGCTTCACATCACCGATCGCCAGATAAAGCAAATCCATTGGTAAGAGTGACAACACGTCGATTTTAAAATATTTAGTTTTCACATAGTGTATTGCAAGTTTTTTGGAGTCTTTTACTAAGATCCCGTGCTCCAAATAACCTGTGCGTAATTGCACTACAATATCTGCTAAGTAAATAAAATCCGAGGTGTAGTCCAATGTGAACCACAGCGCAGTGTAGTTGTCTTGTAAGTCCTCCCATGCCTGACGTGCTATAATGACCCACCAATTGTAAATAACAGCAGCAGTAATCACCATTGACCAATAAAAATTAAAGTTTTCATCGGGGTGCACCACAAAAAGGTCAGATGAGGCTCCAATATCTTTCATGTCACGGGGATCGTGTGAATCGTCTTCTTTACTAACGTCTTGTGTCGGCAGTATGTCTCTCTGTCGCGTCGTGAACCTCTCCATGAACGAATCTCTTCGTTCCATGGGTCTGGAAACTTTCTTTTTTCTGACATCCACCGCATTTCTGAACCGAACCACATTTCGTAGCGAACCCCAAAACGACAACGATCGTCGTTTAATGTTCCGTTTCTCGTCATCTTTCGCATTGGACGCTAAATCCCCGTTTTCTCGCAAGAGGAACCGATTGTCATTTTCTCTGTCAATCAATTCGAGTACGGACATTGCGCTTCCATTTCTACGACCGTTCCTTGGCCCGGTCGACGATCCAGCCAGGTCCACGGAACTCCCGTAACTAACACTCAAACCGTTCATGGAAGAAACGGATAACTCAGCCATCGTAATTAATAAACCTAGGTTCAGTTACCGACTAAAACATCAGTGCCGCTGACCAGTACGCATCCTTCGATGTGTTTAACCGTTACGCTCTCCTCCCAGACAAAGCAGCTGCTGTAATATAAACACACAAACTTTCTCCTCTCTCTCCCCGTACACCATGCATTGTTCGTCATGCGCTAGAAGTATACTGAGTGTGCGCACCCACTTGTTTGTTAAACACAACCCCAGCATGCACGGCCACACTTCTGTTACCATGGCAGTCAATTCTAAAGCAGAATGCGTTTTTCGTGTGACAAGCAGCGTGATATCTCCCCATAATGAGCAGTTGGGGACACCCTCGTGGTAACTACGCTAGGGGGATTGACACATGAAATTATGTCCATTTTAAGATTTAATTGGAAAACCTTTTTCACAATTCACTATACGCGCGTTAAGCTCACCTATTTAAACATACATTTTTACCCAATGTCTTGTTCAACTGGCGAGGGACACTAATAACGATCATTAGTAATTACAGTCGCACTTCGCGGCACGTCATGTTCGAGACGAGGCGAGTTACAACTTACATGTCGCAATTTAAAGAAAATCCAAACGGCGACCCATACGTGAATAGTGTCCAGTCTTTCTAGTATTAGTTTTAGTATGTGTACAATACTCGGAGCTAACAAAGTTAACACGTTCACAGTGTTTTCAATTCATTCAGCCGCATGTACCACAAAGTTATTTAATTTAATCGCGACTGTCCGAGGATTTGCCGTTAAGCAGGTATTGAATAATTTTATGAAAGCACTGACACGTGAATATCACATACAAAGGACTTTAAGCAGACAATGGATTGGACGTGTGCAGCTGCTTAGTGGGGGAGATCCGAGTGGAACTATGGTCATTATTAGAATGCACGTATTGAGACGTCGAAGTGATTTTAAATAATGCATTCAATGCAGCAGACGTTGGTCCAACAAAATAAAACATAGCAACACGTCGGATAGAAATATCTGCCTGGAATGATTCATTTCTACGTCATCTACACGGATAATTTCGAGCTGTAATTTATGACGTTAATGCGAAACACGTAGTGTATAGTAAAACAATGCTTCGCGAAAATACACACAGTCATATGACAATGCCAGTAGCCGCCGTCTTGGCGAGATATAACGACCGTAACGACGTTTGTTAACTTATCCCTTGAAGCGATAATCAGCCTAATTATGCAAGAAATGATCTACAATATGACGATGACGTCATAGGCCGTGTATTAAAGAAGAAAATCATAGGCCATGGCGGGGATAATTAGACTATGTTCTTAGACGTGTGTTTAATATGTATTTATTTACAACACAATACGATTACAAGTCAAATGGAAGCGTGAAGTAGCTTATGACATTCATACAAGTTCCAATAAAAAATCCCGATTATTTTAATGAATTTATCATCCCGCAATATGTGAACAGTTGTTTGGCGTTGTTTTTTATAGTATTTCATCCATTCTTCTATTGTTTTGCATTCACATTTTCTAACCACCAGTAGTCACTAGGTATTTAGATAGACTCCGGATAGACCGCAACGTTTTCAAGTTAAATGGCGGTGATCGGGTCCGTTTTTGTAGATTAATAAAGTGCCAAGAAGAAATACAGTACATAATGCTTTCATTTGTCGGATTGTGTCTTAATTGCCACAAAATGGTATGCCATTATTACCGCGTATGCCATTACTGTGGCATTATTACCACATATGCCATTACTGTGCCATTATTACCGCATATGCCATTACTGTGCCATTATTACCGCATATGCCATTTCAGTGCCATTATTACCGCATATGCCATTACTGTGCCATTATTACCGCATATGCCATTACTGTGCCATTATTACCGCATATGCCATTACAGTGCCATTATTACCGCATATGCCATTACTGTGTTATTATTACCGCACATGCCATTACTGTGCCATTATTACCAAATATGCCATTACTGTGCGATTATTACCACATAGGTCATTACTGTGCCATTATTTCCAAATATGCCATTATTACCACTTAGACCATTATTACCGCGTATGCCATTACCGTGCCATTATTACCGCATAGACCATCACTGTGGCATTGTTATCCGAGCCATTATTATCGCATAGGCCATTACTGTGCCATTATTACCGCGTATGCCATTACTGTGCCATTATTACCACATAGGGCATTACTGTGCCATTATTACCGCGTATGCTATTACTGTGCCATTATTACCGCATAGACCCTTACTGTGCCATTGTTATCCGAGCCATTATTTTCGCATAGGCCATTACTGTGCCATTATTACCACATAGACCAATACTGTGCCATTATTACCAAATAGGCCATTTCTGTGCCATTATTACCACATAGACCGTTATTACCGCGTATGCCATTACTGTGGCATTGTTATCCGAGCCATTATTATCGCATAGGCCATTGCTTTTGCCATTATTACCAAATAGGCCATTTCTGTGCCATTATTACCAAATAGGCCATTTCTGTGCCATTATTACCACATAGGTCATTACTGTGCTATTATTACTACATAGATCATTTCTGTGCCATTATTACTACATATGCCATTTCTGTTCCATTACCTCGCATCGATTGTAAAATCTCCTTAGGGCAAAAGCCGTAGAAAAATAAACTACAAACCTGGGTCACATCCTTGGATAACCCTTCCTTCAAAAGACAGATATTATGGGTATCTTTTGAACTACATTTTATTTACCAGTTGGCTACTTTTACTTTCCTTTCTGATTTGTTTTCCGAATGTTTTACGCATGATTTTCTAATGCTACTATGTTGTTATAGTAACCGTGGTTTGTGTGAAACGACACAGGTAAAAACTTGAGCCTAACCCCTGCTCCTTTCCTCAAGGGATGTCTAGGTCGGTATCACAAACATATATAACACCCTTGATGATGTAATATGAACTCAATTTGACCTTATGAATATAACATACTCACAAAAGGAGAACCGAAAATATTGAATATGTAAATTTATGGGATCTAAAAATATAGTATTCCAGACTATTGAGGGCGCTTTGCTCATCTTATCATTTTGAGCCAATCTCTTCTGTATCCCATTTATCTTTCAACTATCTTCCTTTGCGGCTGCTGGTAAATATCAGGGGATCATTTAATAGATTATTTTTTTATTTTGCAAATCACTTTTATTTTGTATACAAAATAATTTTCTTGCCGTAGTTATGTTGGAAATCTCAGTGGAGACAGAATCAATTTTTTTCATCAATATAAAACTTAAGTTTACCTTTTCAATTGTAAAAGTTGGCAAAGCTTGGATGTAGCGTGACTTTTAATGATTTGTCTGTTGAACCCTATTCTGCAATGGATTTGGTTTGGAGAGCACTTCAAATAAAGTCATCATCACCATATAATTTAAATAATTTATGCAAATGCACATTGTAACACTGGCACCAATGAGACGCTTTAGAGAAAAGTATTCCCAATAGATACTCAATATTCCACTAACACCTGGCCTCACAAGAACCTGACCATACACAGAGCCCAATCCACACAAATGTCTGTATGGAAATCATCTACAAGTGTGATAATTGTCACACTAGCTAAAACTGCACCTACTCATTCAATTAACTAATACTTAAAATATCAGAACATGTCGTTTCTAAAGTGGTGGATAGTAGTTTTCTTTCATACCAAACTCAGATTTATTCCATTCACAATTCCTCATTTGCACACAAGACAATGCATTCCTAGATGTGGCTAAATCATTACTTGCTGTTAAAACTATTTTTTTTATTCATCTAATATTCGAATAAATATCTTACATTCTCAAACTCAACCTTCTAATTCATGATTACAACATTGTTTATTACATTTCAACTGTTCAAGAGTAAATAAAACACAAATGTTCTTCCATCATGCAATGATTTTTCAGCATGCAAATGACCACAGGATAATTAAAATTGCTGTAGCAAAGTGAATACAAATGTTGCTTTTAGCTAATATATGTAGTAATATCACCATGACAACAAGAGACTTCACCAATAGATCATGGTATTCATACTCATTTACCATCAGTATTAAATGCAAAAAAATATCTGCATAATTAAATATTTTCATTTGTTGCATTTATGAATACAAGTAATTCAAAACGATGTCACCAGCAGATTTACTTTAAATCGTTAAAATTCAGAGTGAAACATGTTTTCATATTCCATGCGTTTCAGTGTTGTATCTAATCCAACTTTATTAATACTCTTTTAATCAAACTATTGTAAAAATGAACACCAAATTTTATATATATATATCCATATGATAAAAATTAACCTATTTATTTTTTTAATTTGGCAATAATTAAACATTATACTAAATTTCACATTGGCATGTTTTTTTTATACAAGACATTTATAACACTTTATTTTATATTTTATAAATGCCATGTAGAATCAAACGGCCAGTGTTGACTTTCACTAATTGTGATAATTTTTTTTGCGGCCTGATAATTAATAAACACTCAGTCTTAAACTGTGGTGATGGGATCTATTTTCTACATATATTGGCTATCATTGTGGGAACAGTACAGAGACTTGTGGGTAATATGACAGAACCTCCATGTTCTAGTCCTGACGTTTGTGAGTTATATAAATTGTCACGAGTGATGAGGTGTATCCTGCAGCCGTATTTTTACGAGTGAAGCGTAGATACACCGTATCACAAGTTAAAATATCTTTCACACTGCACAAGCATCAGGGCGAGGCCATTGGATTCTGTTATTAATACACATATTCCCAGATTTCATAAAAATCGCCAGGAAATCACGGCAGCTACAAAATTCTCATACAAGTGTACAGGTGTACTTATATTCATTTTTTACTAAAGATGAGTATAAGTTAAAATTATTGTTTCAGGTTTAAAATCTTAAAATAAGCAAACAGCCTCTCGGCTGTGATAGCTCCGCTGTTAGCAATGCACATTTCAATTAAAGAACAGAAGATATCATTAGAAAATGAACAATATGTATAGTATCAAAACAATCAGACTTGCGGTTTTCAACAAGAAGTGGAAAATATCACTTTTTACCAAAAACTACAAAAATATTCATCAAAATTAGAGAATTGAAGATATCATCATGAAATGAACAAATCTGAGTTAGAACCACACGTAGTACCTGTATATGTAATATCAAAGCAATTGGACTTGCTGTTTTTAACAAGAAGTTGAAAATATCACTTTTTACCAAAAATGACAAAAATATTTACCAAAATTAGAGAATTAAAGATATCATTACAAAATGAACAAATCTGAGAGAGGTCCACATGTAGTACCTATATATGTAATATCAAAGCAATTGAACTTGCGGTTTTTAACAAGAAGTTGAAAATATCACTATTTTACCAAAAATATTCACCCAAATTAGAGAATTGAAGATATCATCATGAAATGAACAAATCTAAGAGAGGTCTACCCAAGGTACATATACACCAAGTATCAAAGCATTCAGGCTTGTAGTTTTCAAGAAGAAGTCGGAAAAATAAAACATTGACACGGACGACGGACGCCGACGGACAATCACTCATATGATAAGCTCCGCTCGACAAAGTCGACAGCGGAGCTAAACAAGTTGTATGGTAAAAACTCAATTAATTTCTTTGATAGAGAAAGTTAACCTGAGATGCAAAAAAAAAAAAAAAAGCTTTAAATGATGGCTGATAATAATTTCTGAATTTAAAGTATTAATTTTCAAGTGAATTGAAAATTTAGCAAGATATCAAATTTGGAATTTGAATGACATGAATATAAATTGATTTCAGAAATAACACAAATTGCAAAACTGACTGAACTCAGTAAAACTGAATAATGGTTATAATACTAGTAGTATATTTAGAACATTACTGCCATTCATACAAACTAAAAGCATCACAAAGTGTGTGTTTAAATGTCCTACACATGATTCATTTACATTAAAAATTACACTAAATGATAAAGATCACTTCAGGCGCATAGAGGAAGACATATTCCGACTTGGAACAGTGGAACATAATTGAATAAATAAACAGTTGACATCATGTCATGTATGTGCAGTGTTCTATTATTCTAGTCATTACATATGTAAATTAAAAAAAAAATTCTCCAGGAAACAAAAATATTACTATATTACCAGGGGTTGAAATTAAGTCCTGTCCACCTGTCCACACAGGCAAATTGTAGCTGGGAGAAGTAAATGAAAACATTGCATGTCCCTGTGGACAGGTGAATATAATGATATCAAGTTTTTACTAACTGACCGAAAAGGGTAGTTCCGAGTTGCTAATGTCAAGCAAAATGCTTTCAGAGTTTCTGAGACTTCTGAAATGTTTATCAGCCAAGAATTTAACATTTTGTTTTGAATAATATGTTGTAATTTATTTTGCAGGAACAGGTACATCATGTATTAGGACAGGCACTTTTTCATACTCCAATCAGACCAATGGACAGACAACTTTAACTTTAACCCCTGAATATTTCAAAAAAAAAAAAACATCACACATTTGATTGTGAAAATAACAACTCTTACAGCAATATCATTCTGAAAAAAAATATAGTTTAGAACTAAGTGAAGGGAAGTACAGTTTTTCCACCACATTTCCTCCACCCATACCCCTGCTATAGTAGCTACACTATCACTTTATTTTAGTAGTACCAGTGTTACCAAGAAATATTCAGTATATAGTATTATGATTAGCCATTTTATAATAAATAAGAAACTTTCAAGCTATTAATCCAAGTGTTCAGAGTTGTAGACTACGCTTGTGTGTTCAGTAGTATCTCTTTGGAGGCACATCTACATGCTGGAACATGGCGCCATCGCAGTCCACAGGTGACTCAACCCGTCTCCATAATGTCAAAGCATCCATATGTCCAGGCCAGTTTGGCAATTGTACACGGTTTATGCATCGATATTCCTCTCCCAATTGCAACTGGAAATTCTGCGATGTTGACTGCCCCCATGGATTGGATGACATAGTCTCACCGAAGAGCTCACCAATGTGAATGATACTGCTACCTTTGTAGTGTTTAAGACAATCAGTGGAGAATGTACTTGATTCTGTAAATGAATAGGAAAGTTATGCAAATGAGATAATTTATATGCACAAGTTTCAATGAAATCCCACAGGTGGTTCTCTTGAGCTATCAGTGGAACAACAGACAGAAACAGGGTAAACAAAACTAAGTTAACGATGCCCCGTTTGTAATATTGACTAGCAAGTAAAATAAATTCCAGCTACTACAGCGTTAATATAGTCAATTAAAATAGGTCTACACATCATTAAATCTGATTCGTGGAAAAAAATCCCTTAAAACTCAACCTCAGGAGGGTCCGGCAAGGAGAGTCATAAGCCATTACGACACAATTAAGGAGATTATATTTGCTGTTGGCAATGCTGACTGACCCACAAATATAGTTTGGAAAATTAAAAATTACAATCAATCTTATTTGAATCTCCACCCCCTGTCCTCCCCTGTAAATATAACTAATTTTCTTATATTATTCACCAAACTTTGTATTCTAACACAGCTGACAAAGCTGTTAATTCAAATTCATTCTCAGACACTGCAGCAGTAATCTGACCAGCTCAGATTCTATTTCAATCACACCAAGCAAGTTCCAATCTTGGCAAAACCATGCATAATATCAGTCAATGACAAAAAAACGCAGCATAGATTCATATTTAGATTTACCTTCCGAATCAGGCCATGATATCATCAATGTTCTCTCTGAATACTCTGATAACACTTCAGGACCACCATCCTACAATAGAACGAACGATTATTACAAATTATACCTTCCATAAGACATTAAAATTAGAAATACTGTCCTGTCACTACATGTATATAAAGTATTGTGCTATAGAGATTGACACTATAAATAGATGTGGCAATACACTTTTCATACTGGAATTTTATAAAATATTGCTAAAATGTGACCAAAACTATTTTTTTTTTAACTTTTATTTTATGTATTTT